CCAACACTACCAACACTACCAACACTACCAACACTACCAAGGCTACCTTTGGGTTTTCTCCTTATTCAATGCCTCTTGAAGCCTTTCTATTTCACTATGAGCATCTTCTAATAATTTACTCTCCATCCTATCCCTTGCAATACTCTCCTCTTTTAATGCATCTTCCAACTTGGGTACATCTACCTACTATATTAAATCAATAGTGATGATGATGATAATTTATAATAATACCTCTATGCAGGTACGTAAGGCAGACTCCTCTGTTGCTTCCTTATCTTTTAATTCCTCATCTAATTCATGTCTAATAATGATTATGTCATCTTAAATAGAATGTGAAGAGAGTACTACCTCATACCATCAGTCATACTCTTCAACTTAATAACAAGTTCATTCTCAGACTCCCTCCTTGAACGTTGTTCCTCCTCTATCGCCTCTCGTAGCCTATAATTATCAGTATAACGTGATGCTGCTGCTGGATGATGGTACTACTAATACTGCCATAATTACCTCTTATCCAGATCTTGTAATCTTTTTTCTTGCGCTTTAGATATACCCTGAAAGTGATGATACTTGGTGTCATACTCACCGTCGCTACCATCACCACCTACATCTCTTCTATCCTTCTCTCCATCCATAGTCCTATCTAATCGTAGTATCTATTGCTATTTAATTGCAACAACAAGAAGCAGCAGGAGGAGGTGGAATATCTCGATAATTATTACATCCTCTTTCAAGATGTTAATATGATTGGACATATTATCTTGATGTTGATTTAATTTAGTATTAATATCAGAAAGATGTTCATTGAGATTGGCCAACCTATAATAATCACAACGAGTCGATAATAGAGGCATTATTATTATTACTACTTTAGTGTTCTGTGATTATCCAAGCCTTGTTGTAAGCCATTTAAACGAGTACTAACAATGGGCAGATAATAGAGCTACCAAAGAGATAAGAATCACCTTAATCGTTGTATCCTATCAAAATAGGTAATAGTAGTAGTATTGTTCTTATTGTGTGATACATTCT